CACACACACACACCCCCCCACACACACACACACACACACACACACACACACACACACACACACACACACACACACACACACACACACACACACACACACACGGTGCTGCCCCTCACACACACACACACGCTTCAAATCAAGTTGCATAAATGCTTGAGCTACGTTTTTATTAGCCTATAATTACTGTGAAATCTGCCTATTATGTTTTCTTCATTATTACAACAAATACACATTTGCAAGTGATAACACTGGCAATGATTTTATATTTATTAGACTGTTAAAAAAAAAAATCATGCTTCAAATAAGTGTGGGTACGGCGTACCCCCTCGTCAAACGCCCACTACACCACTGGTTCTAACCATAGGTTCTAACATAGTTTGCATACATCAACACAGGCTCACTATTTGGCAAGATGACTAAGCCTTATATTGGCTACTCAGCGAGAATCAACTCAGTGAACAACAGATACCAAGGATGCTGGCTAATGAAGGAGACGAAGTAAGCTAGGTAGCCAATATAAGACTTAGCAGTACAGATAAATGTGGGCTCACTATTTAATTAATTAATTACAAACTATTCGTAAACCCTTTAGTCTTATTGTAAAGTGGTACCGAACCTTTTAAAGTAGATGAAAACAGATCCACAGCTTTACTGTTTTTAAATCTGTAACAGGGCCACTTCTACCACAAGAGTACTTTGACTTTGAAGTTGAACATTATCTGTCAACAATTGTGTACTTTTAATAAGAATGCAGGACTTTTACTTTTAACCAAGTGTTTTTGCAATCACGTGTTGGATTCTAATACTTAAGCCTTAACTGATTCTACTTGGATATCACGTGTTTTTTATTTTCTGTGAACGATGCAAAGTAAGATTCCACTTATTAAGTTAAGGGAAACTTTGTTAGCTCCTTCAACAGTCACCAGTAATGTGGTGATTAAGCTATTCTGTGAAATCAAATCGGGAGAGAAATAACGTGATCTGCTCTTCGATCATGTTGTTGCACAGAGATCGTCTCTTTCTCGATTCGTCCTCGTCTCACAGTCTGCATGGAAAGAGATGAGGCTTTGATGCAGAAACGTCAGAGTGCGTGAGAGAGCGCTGAGCAGAGATCAAGGAAACGGTGACACAGAGGATGGGCAGAGTGAGAGGTACAGTTACAGAAAAACCCAAAGAGAGTCACACCTTGAGGAAGTTAACAAAACCACTGGAGGAGAACAAAAGAAGCTTACTATTGAAGGTAACATCTTTTACATTTCCACCTTATATTAAAGTCACAGCTTATTTCTGAATGTATAACTTTGTTGGTGCAACAAAAAGTGCACTTTCTTAAAACACTGCTGCTTATTTTGGTATCATTTGATTCTTTTCTTTAGCATGCGCTTGCCTCTTTATTAAAATGTGATAGTCTACTGATGTCTGCTTTAATTTGTGTATGACCTAACCACTTGATATCTACAATTGATTTTGACATGTTCTCCCCTCTCTCTACAGGATGGGACTCGTGCAATGTTTGGTGATCTTCTGGATGTTTTCTGCACAGCTGGTGCTCTCGTCTCCGCTGGTAACAAAGACTTCAGTAAATCAACCCACATATCTGTAGAGTGACACAGGAAATAAAGCCTTGTTTTGCCTCTCACTTACTGTAAAGTGCTCACAAGTGCAACGACATGTATTACTTTGCTGGAGTTTAGAAGCTGTGTATCTAATTGATTTCATGTGAATGTGTACACAGAACGATGTGAGCCGGTATTGCGAGCTTTCAGGAGGGAGAAGGTGTAAAAAGTGTCCTGCAGGTAGGATGAAATCTGCTGTCAGCAACTTCGATTCGTCTCTTCGATCTGTTATTTAGATTTGACTCACTGTTTCTAAAGATGGAATCAGCAATGGTTTGAACCTGGAAATTACGACGCAGCACAGATGCTGTATCGATTTGTTCCTGGAAGTACTTAGATCTCAAGTCTTACCTGAGTAAAGGAGCAACATGTCATTGTATAAAAACTGCATTCAAAATCTTGCATAAGTAAAAGTACAGAAGTAATGCCATTTAATATACTTAAAGTACAAAAAGTACTTGTTAAGTGTAATGACCAATTTCAGAGTCATATGTCAAAGTACTGGATTATGATTATGATGTGTATGGAGCTAATTTGTACTAATAATAATAATAATAATAATAATACGGTTCATACTAATTTTGTGTCTTCTTAACTTGCTTGTAAAACGCTTTGAGCACCAGGAAAAGCGCTATATAAATGCAATATATTATTATTATTACTATAAATAACTTATACTGTGGATGGATATCTTTACTTTTAATGATGTGTTAAATAATTTGTTAATTTATGTTGCATAGCCTATAATCTGAATATGTAAAGTATCACTAAAGCTGTTAATTCAATAACTGTAGTGGAATAGAAAGTTGTGTAAAAAGTCAAATATGGGTCTACAGAATATAGTAGAGGTGAAGTATAAAGTACAGTGTTTTAAATGTACCTCCCACCTCTGATTTCTTCAACATGTCTCTGTTTGTCTCGATGAAAGTGACGCCCTCTCTCTGTGTGCGACCACATCCTTTATTATTCTGCGCTCGGGGCGAGAGACCTCATCCGGTTGTTGTCATTATCTTCTCTCTCTCTCTCTCTCTCTCTCTCTCTCTCTCTCTCTCCTCCCTCAGGTGAGTATCAGGTGTCGTGTGCAGAGTGTGTGTCGTGTCCTGCAGGATTTTACACACTTGACCTCAACTGTGAACAAAACTGCCACGCCTGCTCCAGAGACTGCAGCGCAGGTAAAGAAACACGAGTTATTTACACCAACGATAGTGATGATGGTGCCAAGACGAGCTTTGAACTTTAATAATAAAAGGAGAATGTATTCATCTCTTTGCATGTCTGGAAATGACCTTATATTTGTGTCATTATTCAGATTAGGATTATTATTATATATGTTTACATATTTTCTGTATTTATATTAAAATGATCTTTTATTGTGATTTATGTTTTAAATATAATTGTTTTCCTATTTTCTTAGTTTTTTAGGATTGTTGTTGTTATTATAAATGTTTTGTACTATTATTATAATTATTATTAGCATATATATATTTTTTTAATATTATTAGCATTATTATTATTATCAGCATTTAAAGCATACTTTCCCCCCCTATTTTTCAAGTTGTTTTGTATTATTATGATTAGCATTATTATTATCAGTATTTTTAGCAAATATTATTAGCATTATTTTCATTTTTTCAGTTACATTTACCCTTAAAGGAATGAGAACAGAACTGCATTAATATCATTGATTAAAAAACCCTAAAATCACCTCCATTTCCCCACTCCCCTAGAGTCACATCTGAAGGTGGTTCAGAACTGCAGCCGCTCGTCCAACATGAGGTGTGTCTGTGAGGAAGGCTTCAGATGCTCTCACCACGTCACAGAGTCAAGAAACTGCAGAGACTGTAAAAAGATACAGGAAACAACAACAGGTAAACAACAACAACAACATGTAAACAACAACAACAACAACATGTAAACAACAACAGGTGAACAACAGGTAAAACACTGCAGACTTCTAAACCGTCATAACAGACTCTACCACCAGGGGGCGTCATGATAAACGAAATATACCGCACTGACTGTAAGAGAGAGAGAAATACTGTACTTTGTGACAGTGATAAAAAGCAGAGGTGGGAGAAGTACTTATATCTTTTGAGTAAAAGTAGAAGTACTCAGATCTTGTACTTGAATAAAAGTAGAAGTACCAGAGTGTAATACTCTGTTACAGTAAAAGTCCTGCATTCAAAATGTTACTCAAGTAAAAGTGCAAAAGTATTATCATCAAATTATACTTAAAGAACCAAAAGTCAAAGTAGTCATCTTGCAGATTGGTCCATTTCGGAATAATATATATGATATGTTTTATAATGATTGGTCATTAAAGTGTTCTCAATGCTGGTAAAGGTGCAGCTAGTTTGAATGACTTTGCAGGGTAGCTTGTGAGTTTACTCCAGAGGCCTGTACTACGAAGCTGGTTCAACCTAACCTGGATATGTTTGAGTTAGCCGGTTGGCCTTATCCAAAACATACGCGCTCTCGCTAAACGGTACGAAGCGGGTTATCAAGTGGAATCGCTCAAGCCAGCCGTGCCCTATCTAGTTAGGTGCGCGTTCACATGAGAGGGGTGGTATTTGGAGCATTCGACCAATCACAAACATGGAGAAGCGTACTGACAGCGCAGCGTCATACTTCCTGAACTATAATATTAGTCAAATATGAAGAATTTAAACTTTAAACATCCATGACTTTAACACTTTATCCAGGATCAAAGCCACATAGCTGCACCTGCAAGGTGAATACAGCTGGTTAAAGAAAAAGTGTTTGAATGCGTACATTAACAGGTTTATGATATCACTGCCCCGTCTAAGACACGAGTGGATCTGACTTTAATTACATTTGTCTCGAGTGTTTCGTCAACTTAATGTGTTGCTTAAAATAATACTTCTGCATACAGTAGGCCTATGTGACACTGTGAGTGTTGCACGGCCAGATACGGCTCAGCTGACTCAGATATGGAAATATATGATACATTATGATGTGATATGCCGCGGACTGTACTTAATGTTTCTCTGATCCGGTTACTTATGGTGTGGCAGATATTTAAGTAAGCTTTCTTAACGCTAATGTTATAATAGTCAGATTGCTCTGAAGATGGGAGGTGATATTTTATTAATGTTCACGTTCACACAGTCGGTGATTTTTGCCGGCCGTCTTTAAACACACTTTACTTAGATATAGCATCCGATATACCTCAGAATTTGAAAATTTTTTATCTTGGTTATGACTTTAGTTGAAAAGGTGGTTATACAGTTTACATACCTCTCACACGGACATACGAACCATTGCAACCACGAGGACCACACACACACCCACACACACACACCACACACACACACACACACACACACACACACACAACACACACACACACACACACACACCACACACACACACACACACACACACACACTACACGCACTCACGCACGGCACGCAACGCCACCACACACACACACACACGACGTAATGATATGAACACCCCTGCGATTTAGACAAATGTGTCAGTGTATACCCCTGAGCGAGGGAATACCCCTGTTTTACCGTCCAGGGGTACTCCTCTTAGTAAGTAAATCCCACGTTCCGAACCAACTCCCAAATCCCATTGCCAATCCCACATCCGTACACAACCAATACAATTCCAATCTATTCAGAGGTCTTATACGTACATTCAGCGTTACCATTACCAGGGGACCTCACCTACATATGGCTACCAGACACACACACACACACACACCACAACACACAACACCACACACACACACACACACACAAAACACACACACACACACACACACACACACCATGACATCAAGGGGATTGTCGTTCACCCAGACGAGACGTAGCCTTACTCACACTTACCAAACTTACTCGACTATCATACATTTCGCGATACGTCATATTCTTGTCCGGTACAACCACAGTTCGGCAGACTCTACTTCTCCTTGTAAGTCACATTATTCTCTTAATCCCTTCAACTCTCTGCATCAATAAATTATTCTTTCTACCGGTACGAAAATATAACGTCACATAATTTCACTTGTACTAGCCATTTGCTGAAATCGGTTAACAGGTAAATTTACACCCAACTTAGCACTTTCATACATGTCGGACAGAATACGAAAGAAAACCAAACAAAAGATAAAAAATCCATGTCAACATCGCTAATTCCCACAGTCTCCTCTAAGTTTCAACAGAAATTAGGTTTTGAGAAGAGAGATTCCTTTACGTAACGTGAATGAACGCCTTACACGTCCCAAAACACCTTCTCGACGAAGCAGGGCCCCTTCGACTCCTTCATGCAGACAAATAGACCAAAGGGCTTTTTCGTCGTCTTTTTTGTAGGGTCGAAATGAAATTCTAAATTCTCCTGTCTGACAATGCCCAACTGGAGACTGGCACTTGAAGTACCAAGTAAACAGGGTCCTTGTTGGAAGCACGTACAAAAGTTTATAAGGAGAGTAGAAGGAAGAAAGGAGCGAGTAAGAGAGACGCGACAGTCGTGGTTACTTCCCACTTCATGGTTCCCTTGCATTGTGTAGTGGATAAGAGTCGTTTACTAAGACGAAGTCTAGCAAACAAAGAAAAAGGAACTTCTGCGCAATCAAGCCAAGGTCCTCGACCTGACCGGTTTCTGAGATTAATGTCCGAGGAAAAGAGTATGAGTACCGATATTTAGTCCTATATAATGACATATTGAGGGGACCATTACAGTTAATTAAGTATGATAACTATTGTGTTCTATAATGCGAGTAAATGAAGAATTAATCAGTTGGCGCCGAGTATGTGGTTTTTGTTTTTTTTTAGTTTTTTGTTTTGTGTTGTTGGTGGAGTTTTTTTTTGTTAAAATCTCATCATTTCAAGTGTCAACAGGTATGGTACGTGTTAACGAATAGTTGCCTATAACTCTTTATTAAACTGTACTTCATTAAATTTCCAGGCCTGTCCTCGTTTGTGCTCAAATGACCAGTCAATCCAACTTATTAGTTATAAAGAAAAACAACAAGTAAAAAAAAAAAAAAATAATGGATATAAGAAGAATCACGTTATAAGTAAACAAAATAATATTGAACACGGTAACAAATTCGTTACAAGTACCAACGATGACATATATCCCGGAACAAAAAAATAAATTACTCATATGCAACTCATATACATTATGTACGTATGGCAATTTCATCTTGATGATCATTATTACCCCATAAAAAACTGAAAAGATTTATATACCTATACTCATAAGAAGACATGCACAAGTGGAGGGACTATCCCCTCGAGTATTAACTCTCTGCAAAGGATATTTGAGAATAAAGTCTCCACCCTTCATTGATCTCCATCTAAATTGCAACTCATGCAAATGAATTCCATAAAGGTTTACAAATCACGACGACACATATGAAGATGCAGGTGATGGTTAACGTCCTGCCATTCTACCACATGAAATACAGGAGATGTGACATAAATTATAGGAAATCAATGAAACTCTACACCCTACTTACTACACCTTCATATAGTTCACAAATTTAGTCTGAAATCAAGGTGGACCTCCCATATGATGCTTCTCCTAAAAGCGATCGGCCGATTCGAAGTTCCTTTTGCGAGCCCCAAAGGCCAGGAATGCTTCGACCAAGACGAAACAAATCCGTCCGATCTAGAGGTACCATTGGACATACGACACACCGATTGGACGGGGACTCGTCCAATCCAACGTAACACGATCTCTCGAGTTGAGTCGGACGACTGGTTAGTCCGGAGTCACCACGCCAGTCAAATTTCGCTAGTTCAGTAGTAATGTCCTCTTTCCTTTATGTCTTTTTCGAGG